AGGGGTGTGTGGGTAGCCAGGGGTGAGTGGGTAGCCAGGGGTGTGTGGGTAGCCAGGGGTGTGTGGGTAGCCAGGGGTGTGTGGGTAGCCAGGGGTGTGTGGGTAGCCAGGGGTGTGTGGGTAGCCAGGGGTGTGTGGGTGCGCGCCGTGAGATGAGTGGTGCAGTGGTTACCGCACTGTGCTGCTGACCAAGCGACCCGAGGTAGATTCCCGGCCCAGGTTCACGTCAGTGGCGAGTGGCGGAGTCTAACGCCTATTTATTGTTGTGCTCCCCTAGGTCGACTCAGCCTCAAATGAGTACCTGGTGCGGTGTAAACATCGCCATTCGTGTGCCATGTCGGCTTTCATAGGTACTCGCTAAACAGCACTTGCCCCACAAGTCTGTTAAGGCTACACGGGTGATACTCTTTGGTTCTTTCGGTAAAGTCACGTAGGTGAAAAAATAAATAATAAATCAATATAAAAAATAATAGAAATAAAGAAATCACGACGTTTCGATTGCAACACAAGCAATCATCATCAGGTGTGACAACCACAGCAAGGATTGTTTTTACTGATGATGATTGCTTGTGTTGCAATCGGAACGTCGTGATTTATTTATATCTATTATTTTTGTATATGTATTTATTATTTATTTTTTCGCCTACGTGACTTTGCCAAAAGAACCAAAGAGTATGGATCCTTGCAGTCACGAAAACTTCAAATCTAGAATACACGGGTGATCTTTGGCATTTTAAATCAATCCCTTAAGCCAAAGACCGCCTTGTATGGACTTCCACCTGTGTACCGCACGCAAAATAATACCGGCATCATGCTCTGCAACGCCACTGCGGATTATATTGCGTTACGTAATTTATAGCTTTCCATTTAGTTTAATAACGACCCATAGCCAAGAGAGAGATTGAGGGACCTTGCCCAGGGACACGCTAGTTCACAATCACCAGCAGTGCTTTTTCACAACCCGGCCTGACGATTCTCATGAGGCACTGAATTTCGAAATCGGTCCAGAGTTTGTTATTGAACCACTGCTGCTGAGAAGAAAATAAAAAAAACCGTTAAAAAAAACACCCACCCACTAACAATATATGTATTACGTACAGAGACATATGGGAAGGACGTATTTCGTCCGCAACAGGGGATGTTAAATTGACCTTGGATAACACGTGGTGATTAAAAAAAACCCCTGCTTTGTTGACCCAGTGGCAATAGCAAACAGTTGGCCAAGTCCCGACTGTTTCAACACAACCTTCCCACTCTTGTGTGTTCCCTCTTTTCCACGTGGCTTTTTCCTCTCAATAAGAGCTCCACAAAAATCCCTTTGTATTGTAGGCCCTGGTAAAAAAAAAACAACCTAAGCCAGAGAGAAGTAAACAATGAAAGTTGGGCTGGGTGACATGCCACACGTATAAGGCCTACAGAGAGTGAGAAAGTAGGGAAATTACGAGCCACTGTGGTTAGGGCTGAGGCTAATACGTACTGGTGTGCTGTTGGCTAGTTTTGTTAGGGTTAGTTATGATTACGGGTCGGGCTAGTGTTGGGCAGTGGTTAGGGTTAGATTAGGGGTAGGGTTAGATTTTAGTACCGGGGTTTGTTGGACTGATATGTTTAAGGGTAGGGTTCGTGTTTGGTTGGTTAGTGTGGTGAGAGTCCAGAGTATTTTTAGTGCATGGTTGGCGAGTTAGGGGTAGGGCTATCACTCATATTTCGTGGACTAGTAGCCATACACGTACAATTCTGTCCTCCAAAATCAAACAATTTGGCAACTCCACCTTTGTTATCTTTTTCCCTGTGTGTTGTCACAGCGATGCTTTCTCAAGGTGGGGTCCGATTTATGTGTCCCTCCATTGAGCTTTCTCCCACGTTGACCTAAGTCTCTTTTGACCTACCTCATCAGCGCACATTGTTCTGCATTGAACTGCACCACAACATTGCACAGTAGATGTGATGCTCCGATGCTTGACTTCCAGAGGCGCCATGATGGCCAGATGTTAACTACCTCGCCTGGTATGCAGGTTGTGAGTTCAATCCCAACCCTGACGCCTGTATATTTGGAGTTTGCGTATCTCTCTCCCCGTGAGCGCGTGGATTTTCCTTCGGGTCCTCCGGTTTTTCCCTCCAAATTTAGAAACACGCGTTTAGTGTCTTTGGCTGCTATGAATGTCCACGTGCTAAGCCACTTCATTGAGCTATCATTTGGGGCCAGGTCGCTTCTGAAAAAGAGATATATAGCTCAGTGGGTCTTACCTGGTAAAATAAAAAGTGTAGTTTAGCCTTTGCAGCAGTGAGCACGGTGATTATTCTGTGCTGATGAGTTCTAATGATAATGAAACCGGTCCACATTTTTCGATTTAAAGCTTTCGTGACTGCAGGGATTCATCTTCTTGGTTCTTTCGGTAAAGTCACCACGTAGAATGGAAATAAAATAATGAAAATAAAAACATAATATGAATATTTTATTTTATTATAATATAAATATTTTATTTTATTATGTTTTATTTTTATTATTTTATTTCCATTCTACGTGACTTTACCGAAAGAAGCAAGAAGACGGTCCACATTTATCCATCTCTGGGGTCACTGCTGCCGGTCAGTTGGTCACATTTGCCGAAATGTATTTTCATGGTGACCTCAGAGACAGGGGAGACAGCAGCCTTATTCAGGAACTATTTATGGTTATGGAGGTGCAGATGGAGGATGGGGGGCCCGGGGAGGGGGGGGGGATTGACCGCGATGAGTCACAATATGAAGGAATCCGATGAGCTATGAAGCTCTTTTTCACAGATGCCCACAGTGCAAATTATAGGAAAGGTAGGCAAGTCACTAAAATAAATAAGTAGAAACAAGTGTATTGACAACAACTAACTGACAGCCACAACTCGCTTTTATTTTTGATATTAAAAAAACTGTAGATGGTTTGTAAACAATATATATTCTCCTTGTTTAGAATTTTATACTGGTATGTTGTGTATTGAAGTGATGGTGCTTTTAGTGGCAGAATCGTGCCAAAATTGAAGAATAATATAATTGACTTGACGTGCCTAAGAAAGTAAACATCCCATGTTTTCCGGTTGGTACTGCGTGTGGAGCTTCTTCATAAAGTGAAGGATGAAGATTGTAATCGCATCGCGCGCTTTCGGATGCGTGCTTCTGCGGCCGTCTGGAACGATCTTCCTTCCAATATGAGGAAGCCACTGGAGCTATGCACGTTTAAACCTAAGTTGAAAACGAATTTGTTTAGAACTGCTTTTTGTGATTAGTTTTTTTTTTTATCCCTGCCCAGCACCTCCGATGAGCGTGGTTGGTTACGCATGGTGTGAAAGAAGTTCAACGCACGTACATATTTCAGTGACTGAAGAAGAGCTCCCGTCAGTAGCGCGAGGAGTTCCCCAACAATCTTCCAAGTAACACGGAGCGAACCGTAGCAAACAACAAATACTAACAATGCAACAATTACTGACACCACGTGGGCAACGGCTCGAGAATCCCGTGGGAACGCTGCTTTTCATCACGCGCACCGCTTGGTGTGTGTGTGTACACACGTGTGTATGTGTGTGTGCGTGTGTGTGTTTACACACGTGTTTATGTGTGTGGGTGTGTGCGTGTATGTGGATACAATGGGAGGTTGATCGATGCCCGGGTGCGGTCAAGGCTCCCTTTTGGTCAACCACGTTATGTTTGCCGATGATCTGGTAATTCCTGCTCACTCAGAGGAGTTGGAGGCGCTGCTGCTGAACCTGCATCATGCCACCAAGAGGGTGGGGCCTTACCATCAGCCCCACCAAGACTAAGCACCTGCCTGAGTATTTTGTACCATCGGACACTCCACCCTCACAACTCCCAATAGGGCAGTTGTGGAGAGAGTGGAGAGTTTCCCATACCTTGGCAGTGTGCTCATGACCGTCTCACTCCGAATCAGTCGAGTGGCATTATCTTTTCATCAGTTGCGTAACGCAGTGTGGAAGCTACCTGGTCTATCACTCCGTACGAAGCTTCAGGTCTTCTCGGCCACAGGCATTCCCTCCCTTCTCTACGCTTGCGAAACGTGGACCCCCGTAATGGAACATCTTCGCCGGTTAGAAACATTTAGGCTGGCCTGCCTACGATCCATCCTGGGTTTAACCAGGCTGGATTGTATGAGGAGCTCACAAATCCTTGAAAGATGTGGACAAAGTCCCATCGGTGAGCTCCTGCAGCAGGCAAGGCTGCGCTAGCTGGGTCATGTAGCCCGCATGCCCAGCCACCGCATGCCTAAACAGCTTTTGTTCGGCCGGATAGAGGGGGCTAAACGGGCACGGGCTAGAGAAGAGATGGAGTGATGTGGTACAGGAGGACGTGGAGCTAAGTGGACTTGCCGATGACTGGTACCAGCAGTGTCAAGATAAGCCTCTGTGGAAGAGGCTCGTGAAGGACGCTACTAGGCAGTTGGAGGCAGTCGCCCTCCAACAAAAACGGAGGGCGGAGGAGCGACGCTCACAACAACGAGCGGAGCACCGGTTGGCTAAAGCACAGCAGGTTGGCACAGTAGGGGGCACAGGTGGTGCATCAGCCAGTGGTCTCAGTCAGTCGACCTATGTCATGTGGGTCTGCCCCGTGACATCCTGCCAGCGGGCGTTCGACACTTCACGTGGCCTCAAGGTGCACATAGCCTGGCACAAGCGTCGTGGTGACGTCACCACCACTTAGTGGTGAATGGCGTTTGTTGTTGTGTGTGGGGAGCGGCAGTGTAGCGGTTAGCATGCTGCGCTACAAATCCAGCGACCTGAGTTCGATTCCCGCTCATGGGCAACACCAGTGACGATTATCTGAACTGGTCCTGGACCTCCGCTAGGTCGACCCAGCCTCAAATTCCAACCTGGTGCGGTGTGTAAACACCACCACTTGGGAGACAAAGGCGACCGGGCATGGTGCTGGCGACCCACCCCCTCGTGTGCCATGCCGGCCTTCATAGGCGCTCGCTCACGGAATTTGCCCCCAATGGTCCGTTAAGGCTACACGGGAGATCTTTGTCTTCGTGTGTTTGTGTGTTCGTGTTCCGTCAGTGGCTGCTCGCCTGCATCGTGTCCCTGGTCGTCCGCTTCGTTTGGGGCTTCCCGGACGAGCCCCCGGTGGCGTGGCGCTGCCTGCTCAAGTGTCTCCCCGTGATGGCACTCGTCCCCTTCGCCCGGCAGCGCGGGGGCCCTGCGGGGGGACGCTGCATCGCCCTCGGACTCGCCGCCTCCGTCGTGGGTCAGCGAGACGCCCACACGCCTGCCCGTCCATCTACCTAATGACCTACCCACACACCTGCCCACCCCCCTTGACCAATTGTTGGTGCCGGTTCTGGCTCGCTTCCCGCTCATCTGTGGTTTTCCCAAGCCTCTAAGGATCTAAGGAAATTGCGTGCGTGACAAATTTGTAACTTTTGCTTTTAACTTCGACATACTCACCCGCCTGCTACACCCACCTGTCTATCTACATACCTACCTATCTGCCAGCCTGCCTATTCATCTACCTATTGACCCACATACGTAGCTTTTAATATACCTACTGAACTATGCCTGCCTTTCGTCTAACTAATTACCTACCTACCTACATACCTACCCACCCAAATGCCAGTCTATTCATCTACCTACACACCTACCTACATAACTGCCTGTATGTCTACCTGCTCATCAACCTTTCGACATGCCTACCCTTCTACATACATATGTGTCTACCCATTGGCCTACCCAAATACCTGCCTACCTATTCACCTATATGCCAGCCTGCCTACTCGCTTATAAATCTGCCCACACGTTCTATGTAGAACCCCATAGCCCAGACCTATGCTTTACAATGGATTCCATCAGCTTGCGAAAACACCACACTTGCTCACGCACTTTTTGAAAAAAAAAAGTATACTCGTTGAAATTCAACGGTGACAATTCAATAAGTCCATCCTCATAAAAGGGGTTACATTGAATGGCCATTCATTTTAAAACATGTACGTATATGATAACACTACAGGGGGCTAACGAGGTGATGTGGTTCTGCTAAGTCTAAATAAAAAAAATACTTTACCAGGTAAGGCCCACTGAGCTATATAGCTCTTTTTTAGAAACGACCTGGCCACAAATGATAGCTCAACGTCGCAGCCAAATGCTCTAACGCGTGACGTTGATTTTAAATGTGGAGGGAAAAACCAGAAGACCCAGAAAAAAATCCACGCGACCACGGGGAGAGAGGCATGCAAACTCCAAATATACAACAGCAGGTGTCAGGGTCTGGATCAAACCCATGACTGCCTGTATACCAGGCGTCGCGCCCACACATCAGGAATGCAGGCAATGCCATAATAATAATAGTAGTACTGCCCTTTATAGAACAAACCATCGTCTGTCTTTTAGCCTAAGTATTCAGGGGGGTACGACTCAGGGTCAGATCTGATGGGAACAAATTCCGGGGATTTTCATCTTAATGTTATTTTTACCTCCTGAGGAGTGCTCTTTCACTTGGAATCCACGGGTGGGGGGGGGGATAATTATAAAACCAGGGTCGAGCCTGGTTAGTACAATACTTTAGGGCGCCGCGGTGGCGAGATGTTAACTACCTCGCCTGGTATAGAGGAGTTCATGGGTCTGATCCCAACCCCAAAGCCTGTATATTTGGGGTTTGTGGTGAATCTCTCTCCGTGGCTGCGTGTATTTTCCTCAGGGCCATCAGGTGCTAAGCCACTTTTGTGATGGGCATGTCGCTTGTGAAAAATAGTTTTATATAGCTCAGTGGGCCTTACCTGGTAAAATAAAAAAAAGTTTAGTTGAGTACTTGAACAGTAGGGCTGCTGGAGAATAGCAGGCGTTGTAGTGTTGGGGCTGACTGCGAGGTGGCCGAGTGGATGGAAGTACGGCGATGGATTATTGAATCTATCTGTGCAGAGCTTAGAGTGTTACCCGCTGTTATACGTTGGCGGGGCGGGGGGGAGGGGTTCTCCCACAAGCAGCCAAATTCTCGTAGTTGGGATTGGCCAAACATCCCAATGTAGCAGAACCCTTTGTTAAAGGGTCTTGAGACTCAGCGAGCTTTCTTAAGGTGAAATGCATTATCATCATTACAGTACTGGACTTCAAAGTGCATATCACACATTCGGGCAAGATCACCAGTTATGTGTTCAGCTCTTCTTTTGTTGTACTCTTGCTAATCAGGCCATAAAAAAATTCTGAACAGAATTACAATAACTTCGTCGGACATTCAGCCGCCGATGTGATTACATTAATTGCACTTTCACCTGTAGCAGTTACTGTATCGTTATTTTCAGTCACTTGTCAATCGATCATTGGACGAAGTTCACCTCACATCCTTGTTGGCCATAGGGATAATCTTCACCATACTTCACCACGATGATCAGTGTGAGTGAGTAAAATCTTTTTAGTCATCCCTCCGCTGGCAATTGACAAGTTGAACACTGGTGCCACGGATGCATCAGCTATCAGATATCACTCTCCGACCCACCCCTCCTGGGACATCTGTGAAAAAGAGCTTCAGGGCTCATCGAATTCCTCCAGGATAGATAAACATTCTTCTTCTCTCCACTCTTGTGCCTGCTCTACACAGTCTTTGTCACGTGTTGCGCTGGCTTATCAGTCGATGTCATCACTTCCTTATCCAGTTGATCTTGGGGACATTTTGAAAGGGACTGACCGGCTTCGTGCGTGACAAAGAAGAATTCCCATACATACCTGGCACGCATGTGATGGCAAAAACACTTTCAAATGTCTGAACAGATTGATTCAATAATCTATTTCTGTACCGCATTCCCACGTGCATCTAGCAGTCCAAGTCTAAAATTGTCTTAATTTTCCCGGGGAGTCTCCCATTCAGATACTAACGAGGTTCAATCCAAGGGCTGCCACCGTTTAGCCAGGAGAGAGGCAGTCGCGCTTATCTTGATAGGCCAATAATACTGTATTGTGTCCCCGTATCCCTGTGTCCATGTCCCTATGTGTATGGATCACAAGCGTGCACCACCAAGCCTACTAAATTAGTCATCCTTCAATTCGGATGTTTAATAATTGTAAACAGGACATAGTGGCTTTTTATGTTTACCAGAATACTCACGTTTTAAACAGCCTTCTTGATGAATCCCTCTCTTATTTACGTGTATTGTCTGAGTCACTCCTGGATGTTAGAAACGCAAATGACCAGCTCATTTTATTTCCCATCGGTTTAAATATATTAGCATTTATAAATAATAGACAATTGAGAAACTGCAACAGCTCATCTGAGACTGCATGGAGCAAATGTTGTGAAAGCCCTTTCCCGTGGGCTTCAAAGTCCCGAAGCCTGGCTTGCCAAGAGAAGGTGGTACAGCAAAACGTGGACTAATCTCCACCCGTTCCAACTGTGTGGGATAGAGCGTTGCCCGCTGCCCCCCCTCCCCCTCCCCCGCGAGTTCTCGGAAGGGTGCGCCCTCTTTCCTTACAGGCGTATCAACGCGATTTAATTTGGCGAGATGTGGGTTTCAATCCTGACGATGCCCGCTGTATATTTAGAGTCCGCGTGTTTTCTCTCTTCCTCTCCGTGGTGGTTCGGGTGGATTTTTCACCACATTTAGAACGAACACGCGTTTTAGTTTAGATTATTTGGCTGCTACAATAAAGCCCCACGTGTGATGGTGTGGTGGTGTGGATAGTTATGGTGGTGGCAGTGGCGGTGGTATGTTGTGGGTGTGGAGGAGCTGGTGGTCAGGATGCTGGTAGTGGTGTTGTTAGTGGGTGTGGAAGATGGTGGTGGTGGTGGGATGGTTGTGGGGAAGGAAGTTAATTCAATGCTTTTTCTTTGCAGGGGAAGGAGTAGAAGTAGGTCTTTATGGTGGTAGGAAACCGCTGTCAAGTCCAACTAATGGGCCTCATGATTTCAGCTTAAAAAAATACCGAACTTCTTCTGTCAGCTCGTTTTGGAGACATGTCGGTGCATGCCCTTGCCTTGATCTCTGGTGAAAGTTAAACCAGAAAGAGGACAAAGCACCACCTGTAATTATTCAACCTGAATACCATTCAGACAGGACTGAATTAACGCCTCACCTTCACTGAAAACAAAACTTAATTATTTAGTCTGAGACAAAAACCTTAATTCAGGTTGGAGTATTATTTTATTTATTTTAGTTTCATAGTTATACTCGACATTTTATCTCTGCCTCAGAAATGCATGGCAGGCAAATTCATTAATTTCATTTTAGTAAAATGGTGGTAAATTGGACCCAGGATTGCGCCCCCAACAATAAACGTTCCCATAATGCACTCTGCAAGCAAGATTTAATCATTATTATAAACTCATTGAAAGTCAAAGTTAGATTATAATCTAACTCTAATCTAACTTTAACTTGTACACGGTAGGCAATAGCTACTACTATTATAGCCAATTATAAACTTGTCATCAATTATTTTTAAAAATAGGATTCTCATCAGGCCCCATGGTCTAATGATGTAGATGCTCACCCCGAGCCCTCATTACTTTGATAGTGCATTGTTTTTGAGCTGTACGCCTTTTGGCGTCATCTGGTCGAGCACCAATTGGGTCGAGGCTCAAAAGAAAGCCGTCCCTTGGTGTGGACCAATCAGTTTCAAGGACAATGCATCATATATTATCATAGTATGTTTTTTTGTTTGCATTTTGACTGCAAGTATTGTGGTTAATGCACACATGAATCCTTGTTAAAAGGTTTCAGTTTTGTTGCCAGAAAAAGGGGGAACCCCCTATTATTAGGCCCCATGATTTTAAACTAATCTCCGGCCCTTATTAACTCTATCTCATCGACGTCTGTTCATGTGCTAGAAAGAAGGCTCGTTGACCTCAGTATCGCTGGTTATACTGTACATGTTTTCTCTTAATGGCAGTGCTATTGACGAATGTGTCGAGTTTATTCGGCTTAAACTATCAAGCCCCGCGCGATCTTTGGGCGTGACCAATCTCACCATGTTTACAGCCAGCAGTGGAGGATTATAAAACGTCCCCGCATTGTAGAATATGTTGCGCCATGGAAATCGACTCGAATCTGCGACCTCTGGGTTACAAGTACTGTACATCACGGAAAAGTCCGACATTTAGAATGTAGAATGTAATGCGTTAATAAGGGCGGTGATAACAAATATAGTCAAGAAATACATTCACAAACGAACTCCGGCAGGCTTAAATGTGATGTATCACACGCCCATTTGTCAGCGCATGGAAATCTCAACAGATTTCCACTCCCCCTCCAAATATCCACTCGGAGGGCTTTTTGCCATTTAAAATTGATCTCCTCCCCACTCCCTTCTCCTCTCACATTACTGCCTCTAATTTGGGGTGAGTTGGTTAAGATGAAACCAAAAAGGGCAATGTAATGAATGGTGATTCGATTTCGACATTCATTTTATCCAGAAAAAAAACGCCTCTTGAGTTAGGCTGACTTATTTGCAGATCACAATTTGCTGTATTCGCACAGGGAGCGAGGCAAAACAAGGTGTTAATTTAAGCAGAATGTGATTACTGTATTATAAAAACATTGCTTTAATTAGCTTTTTGTGTTTAGTTTGTTGTCCTTCCGCCCACACCTCCAATTAGCAGGGTTGGCTATGTACGGTGCGAAAGAATTTTTACATACATACACTGGCTCTTACTGCTTTCCAATTATTATTAATTTTCTAATTTCTCATAAGATCTGTTGTTCCAGTAAGGATTGATGCTGCTTCGGTCTTAATGGCCATTGTCTTTAAGTAATTTCGGGTCATACCCAGGGGCTTAATTTCAGGTTCGTCTTGTCCTGGCTAGTGACTCAGAAAATATTTTTGCTCCCGATACACCACATCCAGTATTCCACTTGCTCTGGCTGTGGCTAAGAGTCTCCTCCTCCAGCCTACAAGTTAGTGAGCAATTAAGCCCGGGATATACCTTGTGAATTGGTCACTCGGCCAATATGTGCGGCCCTTCCTCCGATGAGCACGGTTGACTACGTACGGCGCGAAAGAAGTTCAACATACATACATGTGAGTTATTTTTCTTTTGGAACGAAGACGAACCTGAACCCTAACCCTGACCCCGACCCAGCGACCACCCACGGCGTGAGTCACTCACTGATGACAATGAGGTGGTAATAATTTAAGTCCGCAGAATCCGTGGGGACTTGGGCCACATACATTATATTTTCTCGACACAGAATCAATGGCAGGAGTTGGTTGTAAATCTTCATCACCGACCACATCTGCTTATCCAGACCACACACACTTACACTTACACACGGATACAAAAACATATCCCCCGAAGCCTACACAAGGCTGTTTTGGGCAAGTGCTGTTACAGCGGTGACATGCATACACGTAGGGCAACACAGAGACACGTGCGTGTGGCGAGGCACGAGATGTCTGAGTTAGTATATCGGCCAGAGCTCATATCAGTGGCGAGAATTTGTCCTAGGCCTCCCATAGGTCGACTCAGTGGTGTCTAAATATTCGCATTGGGGAGACAAAGGTGGCCGGTCCTGGCCGTCCGCCTCCCCCCACAAGTTATCACCACCCGTACTAGCGAGCGTGGCGAAGTATGGTCAAACAACCCTCACGACACACGCGGCGTGGGGAGGCTAACACCGAGCAGTGGATTGACAAATGGCCGAACGCAGTTATACATCGTGTTATTATCGTGTGCTTGGTCACCAAACAAACCGTGGCGATTAAACAAAATGTAGAGGCAAACTGTTAGCCGAAGTGCCTTCCCTTTTATAAGTCTGGTGCCGTCAAACTGAGCCCACAGCGCCCTCCTCTGGCCTGACCGCGGCGCCACAGAGTTTATGTTCGTCTGCTTCTCTCTGCTTTCAGACTCAAATAGGCAAGCCAGGCTATTTAAAGGGGGGGGGGGTTGTTAGATCGCGGAATATAAATGCGTCGTTAAACCCGCCACCACCCGACGCAGCCAATTAGTAAGGTTTGTCTCGTAAACAGAACATTGTCAATTCGTTACTAGTACAGCACACCGCTGTGTTGGAGAGCATATCCACAACATTTCCAATCTGATTACTCAGATTTGGCATGTTCTATGTAAGTGACACACCTTACTAATTGGCTGCGCCGGGTGGTGGCGGGTTTAATGACACATTTATATTTACGCGATCTAACACAAAAACATGTATTATGGAGTCTATTTAAACAAACAAAAAATAGCTATTTGACCAGGTAAGGCCCACTGAGCTATTAAGGTATTTTTCAGAAGTGGCCCGGTCACAAATGATGGCTCAACGAAGTAGCTTTGCGCGTGGAAATGTATAGCAGCCAAAGACTCTAACCGTGTGAAGTTGATTCTCAATGTGGAGGGAAAACCCGGAGGATCCGGAGAAAATGTCACGTGACCACGGGGAGGAGGCGTCGGGGTTGATCCCACGGTCTCCTGTACACCATGCGAGGTAGTTGACATCTCCGAGCCACCGTGGTGCCCCGGCCGGCAGTGCCCCGTGGTTGACGATGAAGCCCCCGGGCAGAATGCATCGTGGGCCCCCCATTATTTAGTATCGTGGATCCCCCAACAAAAAACCCAAGACCGTTATAGAGCCCTCTTCTGTGTTGACCCCCCCCCCCTGCTGCACTAATGTGCTTTATATTTTTAAAGTTTTGTTTTGCTTTTGTGATTTTGCTGACACAAGTCACATTTACTTATTTTGCAAGGGCGACCTGCATTGAGCTCATATCGAACAGCCCAGGTGACGGCAACAGAAATAACTCAAAGAGCCATTTTTTCAAATTGAGTCAAACAAATTCAATATTTGAAGAGCCGCAATGCATGCGAATAACGACACGAAGCATGCCTTGAAGAGTCGCATGCGGCTCCGGAGCCGAATGTTGCCGACTCCTGATCTGGCCAATATGCATTCAAAATCATGACAGATACGCTGCTAGCACCCTGGATCTTAGGTAAGGCTTTTCAAAGCGCCAGGCGGCGTGAACCACCACCCTCCCTCTTTTCGCGTTTACCAATTTTAATCCCAATTCAAATACAAATTAAAGCCTTCCACGCCGCTCGCACCCGATGATTGTTTATCACGTCCCACGTGACGGAAATAAGCAATTAGCGCTGTCTGTATCACGCGGAACAATCATCGGGCGCGTGCAGCGTGGAGCGAGTTACTTTGTACAGTGTTGAAATGGGGAGTACATTGTTACGCTCGAAAACGCGGAGCGTGGGCGGGTCGCGCGGACTGAGATTCTAGCTGGTACTACGGGCTTGGGTTCTCGAGACGTGGCCACGATGAGCTCGTGAGCCACCTCCAGTGTTGCATTTTAAGCCTCCTGCGTAAATTGCAACGTAGGAAACAGCATTCTGCGTGCTGGTTGCAGCAGGCGCCACGCACCGGTAGAGGGCGAGCTCGGCACAATCCCTGGATTTTTTCACGTGGATGACAGATGTCCGCGCAGCAGAGTCAGTGGATTTGCCGGCCCTGACTAACGGATAAGAAACATCGAATTCATGGGTGGGAGGGAGGAGGAAAAGGGTGCATGGGGAAATGGAGAGGGGTCCAGATTTAAATTACGCTGAGATAGAGGAGCAGGAACACTTGGGTATAAGCGAAGACACGCGAATTCGGGAGACATTTTGCCTGTTTAGTGCGCTTGAGCTGGACGCGTCGCAGGAAGGGACCATTGGGCAGTGGTTGAGTGTGGCAGTCGAAGGAGGCGGCACGCACCGCAGAGATGGTGCGATGACATCCGGCTCGTTTGCAGGTGCAGATGGCGGCAGCTTAGGGAGGCCTCCGTCCAGCAGTGGATAGACCAAGGCTGATGATGACGACGATCATGATCGTGAAGAAAATAATCGTTGCATCCACTCCGCCGTGTTTCGACCGTTGCACTGCACAGCGCTTGATGCCCTTTCCCGGTTCTTCGACGGCACAACCGGACGAGCACGTGCGAGATTATAATCGTCGCGTCCACGTTCGCCGCACTTTGCCTTGCGCTCCGCAGGTGACGTGTGCCTCTTCTACAAGGACAGCTACTTCCTCCACGGAGTGCTGGCGTTCGGCCTGGCCCACTGCTGCTACACCAAAGCGTTCGGTCTGCGCGGCGACCACCTCGCCCTGGGCCTCGTGATGCTCTGCTGCGCCCTCGCCGCATTCGCCTTCCTCTACCCGGGCGTGAGGGACGACGCCGTGCTCGCGCCGGCCATCTTGGCGTACAGCTTGCTCATCTTCACCATGGCGTGGCGGGCCTCGGCTCGGCTTTTCAGGGGACCCGGCTGGGGGGCCTGCGAGCTGAGCGGCGCGTTGGGCGCGGCGCTTTTCGTGGTGTCGGACCTGACGCTGGCCACGAACCGGTTTCGCTTCGCGGTGCCCCACGCGGCGTTGGTCACGCACGCGACTTACTACGCAGCGCAGCAGCTGATCGCGCTGTCGGTCAAGCGGGAGCCGTTGACCGGCAAGCAATGGAAGCTGCCGTAAAAGTCTGTGCGGGACCCCCCCCCCCCCCCAATAGGGTTGCCACCTCTGGGATACGGCAACAGCAACAACAGAAAATGGCACGTGCCACGAGAAGGAGAAAGGATAGCCCACGCGCGTAAATGACACACAGAACGACCGGGACTTGTATTGAATTGCCAAAAACCAGGACAAGTTGACAACCCAAAGCCCAACAGTTTGACCGCCTTAAACAAACTAAAAATCTAGCGATGGTCAGTCCAATTGAGAGGGGTGAAGGAAGGGTGGGAGGCGAGGGTAGGAGGAAGGGGTCCCAGTAGGAGGAAGGTTAGGTTCGTCCAGTGCCGGAATGACGTGGGGTGACCCCTCTGTCCAGCTTCGCCCCCCCCACCCCTCCTCTTCGTAGGCTGCTGCGGTTGTACCGCACGCTCGTGAGCCATGCCGCTCGTTCCCACCACCATCACTCCGCACTCTCTCCCCACTGTCGTCTCGCGAGCTCACTCTCGGCAGAGCTGGCTCCTTCGGATCTAAATGAAAACCCGTGCCGACAAACACAACAGCCCTGTGTCTTGCCCCACCTTATTCTGCTTCTCTAATTTCTTGACTACTCTGTCCCCCATGCCGTCCTCTAAGCTCCCAATATCGACCGACCCTCTCTCTACTTTGCTTGCCACCCTGCGCCGAGTCACGTCCCTCCTCCCTTCTTGCTCCCCTTCACTGGAACCAACTCCCACTGCAGCACGCAGAGCAATCGACCTCAATCATTTGCTTCCATTCCTCGCTGAAAACAACCCCCATCTCTTCTGCATTGGCTATCCTGTTTCTGCTACTCCCTTGCACCAACCCCCCCAGCTACGATTAGGCTTACCCTTATCACAACCCCTGGCACTTCCCCTACCCCTATCAGTAACCCTATCACTACCTCTATTATCATTACCCCAACACCTAACACTACCCCAACCCCTCCTTAACCACTGCCACCTGTCCTGTCACCATAGCGCCGCCACCACTTGAAATAACAACCCCACACTTTATTTTAACCGCCGTCATCTTAGTTACAATTTTATAACGATTGTAAAGTTCCTCGTACTACGGTGCTCTCTAAATCTATACAAGATAAGAAATGTGAACATGATGGCACTCCGTGCATTCCTTTGGTGATCAGGCTGAGTCTCTAATCACTTCACTTGCGAACCCGGTTCCATCACGAGCGGCTGAATCCGTATTCGAACCCAAGAGCTCATCAGTACAAACACAGCATCTTTGAGCCCTTAACCACCGGGCCACCTCTGTCATTTCACTTTTATTTTTACTTTTGGAGGATTACAATCGCATGCAGTGGAATGGAGCCAGCAATGAAGTTGGCTAAAGCGAGCTATGTCCTGTTTACCTCTCGTGGAACGTTGCATCGGTTTTAATCTAGTATCGATGTACATTTCATGCACATTACATGCAAATGGTATGCTCACGTTAATATTACAAAGTTAAGTTTAACACGTGGGCTTTCGCGATCAATATCAATAATACAGGTGTTTGGGTTGCTACGCCTCGATTTAAGGAACGAAACTGGTCGACTTTTCCACAAATCTGTCTGTCGCTTGATGAAGCTAATTGTAATTACTGGTGAAAGGTTGTACTCAGATTGTAAATGTTGTGATTTGACTCTCTAGCACACCGGTGTGCTAGACTAGGTTATGTTACGTGACAAACTTTACTAATTGGTTGTGTCGGGTGGTGGTGGATTTAACGACATTTATATATTTACGCGATCTAACCCAAAAAACCTGTATTATGGATTACAAAGTGAATTTTACTTTTCTACGTAATATTTTAAAATATTCTACAAACGAGATTAACAAAAATAGACAATACAAATAAAATGGAAAATGAGACAAAAAATATTTTGTTGAATTCAATTCCTTAATTGAAACAATGAATCGGATCACCAGGATGTGAATCTTTACACCCCTGCTGTTTCTGCCCATGAATGAGATTTATTTACACAAAGTGCCCGCCATCTTGGATCTCACCGTCGGCCATCTTGGTGATCACTTTCCGCCATCTTGGATCTCAACGACGGTCATCTTTGTGATCACTTGTCGCCATCTTTGATCTAACCGTCGGCCATCTTGGTGATCACTTGCCGCCATCTTGGATCTCACCGTTGGTCGTCTTGGTGATCACTTGTCGCCATCTTTGATTTAACCGTCGGCCATCTTGGTGATCACTTGTCGCCATCTTTGATCTAACTGTCGGAAATCTTGGTGATCATTTGTCGCCATCTTGAATCTCACCGTCGGCCATCTTGGTGATCACCGTCGGCCGTCTTGGTGATCACTTGTCGCCATCTTTGATCTAACCGTCGGAAATCTTGGTGATCATTTGTCGCCATCTTGGATCTCACCATCGGCCATCTTGGTGATCACTTGCCGCCATCTTGGTGACAAGTTCCCACCAACAAACAGAATTTTCAAAAAAAATATTGGTAATATTGCCTTGGCAAATACAAATAATGGGAAACTCTAAACATTCGTCAATAGCACTGTGGCCTTAAAGTAAATAATATATAATAGGCACCATTAGAGGCAATGGTCGTTCGTAGAAAATAAATCCAGAATTTGAAATAATCAGTGTATCTCTTTATCAAATTCTATCAATTAATTTTAGATTTTCTGGAAAATATATTTCAAGTTGATTTGGAAACAAACTGCTGAAGGTAAACCTATTTTTGGATACTAAATCACAAGTTACTGAGGAAGAAAAATAATAATGGCAAAGTGATGCGTGCAATTTTTATTTAAGAGATGACCCAATATCCTGACGTAAATTATGCTTCAAGTTCCTGAAAAATTCCGATGGGCCATAGATCACTACTAAGTGAAGGTTCCATTATGAGAGCAATACATCTTTAACGGTTGCCAAAGTGGAAATGACGGCAGAGTAGATTGCGTAATGGGATTTTAAAAATGGCATTGCGAGGGAGGTAATTGCGTAAACTTACCTACTGAGTGGGTCGCTGCTTCAGCCCAATTCATTGCACTATGTTTAAATTAATAAGTAATTTGTAACTCGCGTAGTTGAATAAGTGAGCATGTTGTGAGGAAATAAATTGCTCTATTACTCCACGTGATTGAACATGTTTGGTATGGAACATTTTTACATATGATACGTGTGTTTTCTCTCTCAAACATTGGACTATACATTTTGGGGAAAAGTATGTGATGTGTGCAATGGTATGGTCTTGTGTGTGTTGGTATACATACGGTGGGTAAAACATCAGAAACGGAGGAGACAGGTGGCCGGGCATGGGTCTGGCCACTACTCAAGTGCTGTGCTGGCCTTCATAGGTGCTGCTCGCTGACAGCACTTGCCCCAACAGTCTGTTAAGGCTATACTGGGGATCTTTGTCTTTTGTGTCTGCCTCTGTGTTTTATTTAATCGTGCTTCACAGTTTGGCCACGGGTGCGTTGCCAAACTCTCCCTGTGAAGCTGCGCGCCACGGGGATTTCACGCTAAGCCCGGGGGTTGTGTCACCCCGTTCGCTCCAGCCCAGGGGTCACGTTGCGTTATTGGCCTCGCAGAGGGATCACGAATTCATTCATCCATCGAGGGGGTCTGTATTCGCATAACACGCACAACCCAGCACACGAACAAAACAGATGGGCGGACAATTATGCCTCCGTCACATATCTGTTTATCCTCATGGCAAAACAATAATCCAAATTTTTATTTAAAGCTTTCGTGACTTTACCGAAAGAACCAAGAATATAATAATCCAAGTGTTTTTTTTTACATCCAATCAGAAGGGAGTGCATCATTTCGGCAGCAAATGGTTTCACACAAGCAAAACTCTGTACCGGCTTCGATATTCAGTGTCTCATCAGCAGCCAGGCACGCTTGAGCCAATACACAACAGAGATAGCTCCTTGTAGCGACACGAGGGCTATTGCCACCTAAGGTACAAAAACGGGAATACAATGAGTGGAAGAATAGCTGACAACGTCACACGAGTTGAAATCTGCATGTTACATAAATAAAACATCTTCTGAGTGGTGTATTTATCAGTTTCTTACAGAGCTGATAAAAAAAATATCTCAGGACTCTGAACTAAATAAAAACTAAACTATTTTTTTTATTTTACCAGGTAAGGCCCACTGAGCTATATAGCTCTATTTCACAAGCGACCTTGCCACAAATGATAGCTCAATGAAGTGGCTTATTACGTGTACACTTATAGCAGCCAAATATTCTAAACACATATTTATAAATGTGGAGGGGGAAAACCGGAGGACTCGCAAAAAAATCCACGCAACCACGGGGAGAAACATGCAAACTGCAAATATACAGCGGGCGTCAGGGTCGGGATCGAACCCACGACCTCCTGTATGCCAGGCGAGGTAGTTAACGTCTCCTAGCCACCGTGGCGCCTTTTTAACATCCCGGGAGGACTTACAGATTTTCCAGAAGGCATACTTCAACAAGGGGATGATCCTGGGAAAACCAAGACGGGTGGCAAGACTCTGAGGTTTGTGTGGTTAGGTTGTTGGTTGGTCCTGCGCCGTTCCACGAGGACGACTTCGATTACAAGCAAAAATCTCTACTTCATGAAGGGGAGGGACCCAGGACCGGTTCGGATATCACTCGCTACGCCACTGATGATAGCCGTGGCCGGGAATTGAAATCACGTCTCCAAGTTAATTAGCGCAGTGTGCTAACCAAATCACCCGCCTCTCCACTCCACACATAGTTACTTTATATATCTGTATACACAAAATCAGAGTTGACTCTGGCTCAAAACGAGCGTGGTGGAAATTCCACGTTCCTATGACGGGAACACGATGAACCAACAGAATAAAAAAACCCGACAAACACCCCTAGCCCATCCCCCCAAGTTGAACTAAGCTCGACTCTCGTAAAGATACGCACAGTAAGCGCTTCGCAAACCTAAATCCCAACTGCAATGTTAATCCCTGCAAAGGAGTTTTAATACCAAACTTTCACGCCACGCTCATTAAATGCGCTCGAAAGCCCGCCCGCCCGTCCGGGCGCGCGCTCGCTCGCTCCATCGCTCGCTCCATCGCTCGCGTTCCAGCGCTGTTATGAAAGGGCGCCCGGAATTCTTCATCTCGAGCAACGCGTGTCCGGGGATACGGGGA